TGAGATCCTCAGCAGGAAAAACTGGCCTAGGTCAACATTAGTTCCTCGGCGTCATGTGATCCCGTAACATTCCCAAGGTGAATTTGTTTTCTTGTCAATTTCTTTGACAAACTCAAGCTGGGAATCTGTCATGAACTTCTGAACCTTCTTTTGACATTGCTCTTTTGACAGCCTCTCTCCAGGCCGCTTAGCCCTTTGAATTAATTCCTCCTTGCATTTTGCCGTTTTGTGAATCATCCAGCTCTTTTTTTTTTTTTTTTTTTTTTTTGGAGACAAGAGTCTCGCTCTGTCACCCAGACTGGAGTGCAGGGGCGTGGATCTCAGCCTCACTGCAACCGCGTGCTGGCCTCCTGGGCTAAGCCGATCTCCTCTCGCCCTCAGCCTTCCCCGGGGTTAAACTGGGATTACAGGCACCTGCCACCACTCTGGGCTAATTTTTTTTGTATTGTTATTTTTAGTAGAGACGGGGCTTCACCAAGTTGGCTAGGTTGGTCTCGAACTCCTGACCTCAAGTGATCTGACCACTTCGGCCTCCCAAAGTTCTGGGATTACAGGCGTGAGCTACTGCACCTGGCCCGATCCAGCTCTTTCAGTAGATTTTAACCCTTACTTAATTTCATTCCAGCAGTCAGATCACCATGTACGTCTGGATGACTTTTTATTTCTTCCTCTCGTCTCTCCATTTTACAAATGTTGTCCACCAGTCCAGGTGAGACCAAGTCCTCTCTCACCCTGGTTGTAACAGTAATGCGGCCACTGTGGAATCACTTTCTTTCAAGCTCCCTGGGCAAGTGATGAGGTTCTTATTTATTTTATATTTTATTTATTTATTTTTTAGTGATGAGGTCTTGCTATGTTGCCCAGGCTGTTCTTGAACTCCTGGGCTCAAGGCATCCTCCTGCCTTGACCTCCCAAAGTGTCGGGATTACAGCTGTGAGACACCGCACCAGGCAGGAATTCATTTCCTCCTGACTAAACTTCCTCTTCTGAAATGTGATAGGAGGGGCAGCAAATGCAAAAATCGTGACCCTCTCAACTTCCTCTTGGGCTTTAATCAGATCTATTTACAAAGGAACAATTTTAGGAAACCAAGCCAAACCAAACAACACCCCGAGCCGAAGTTTTAGATACTTCCTTATTCGCTCTTCTGGCAAAGTAAGTGATGGGGCTGAGCTGACCTTCCCTAACATCAGGAAGATGTTATTTCTCCTGGTCCATGTTTCTGGTTAGTCCCATTTGGCCTGCTTTAATGTGCACATACTTCTTTCTGCTGTGCGTGTAGAACTCCCAGATCTCTGGAACAAATGTGATGACCTCTTAAGCCCTCATTAACTTGCTGAAGAATTTTAGGAAATGTGCACTAGGATTGGCACCGGGGTGCTTTAACCTTCAACCACAGGAATCCTGGTGTGCAGAGGCTGGACCTACGGACGATTTTTCTGGGAATACTGGCCTGACTCAAATGAAAACCATTTGGCCAAGCAAATTTATTGTTGTGAGCTGATAACACTGTGAATTAACATACAGAATCGAAGGGCTACTTTTTGAAAAGAAATCGGCAATTTAATAATCAGTCATTCTTTACCTATTTCATTTTGAGGTAACTATTTTAGACCAAATTAAAAGTGATCATTTTTCTTTGTAAAATACATTCTGTCCCTCAATATTGTTGCTTTTCAAAAGTGCGTCTGATCATTACTAAATCAAAGAGTAAGATAATGATAATAAAAATGTGAAGAAAAAGTAGGTATTTTTCTAACCTCGTGAGTAATTTTTCCACCCAAAATGAAATGGAATTTTGTTATTTTGATAAATCTTTTTAAAACTCTGGTAGTTTTCTTCTGGGTGGGAAAGCAGAACTTATACTGAGTGCCTACAATATGCTAATTGCTTTACATATGCTGTATTATATAATTATCATACTGATTATGTAAGACGTGTATTATTATCACCATTTTACTCATATGGAAACAGTTTCAAATATAACTTGTCACATAATTATTGATTGAATCAAGTGCAAATCCTGCTCTGTTGGACTCTAAAACCTCTTCCTAGAAGCTTGTTAGAAATGGGGAATCTTAGGTGCCCCCCACCAGAACTACTGAGTCACAATCTGCACTGTAACAAGTTTCCCAGGTGACTGGGATACACATTAATGTACATTAATGTATATTAATGTGTATTGTTGGTTGGACCCTCATTACATAAAAATGTTTGAAGCTGAGGTTTTTTGATTTTTTTTTTCCCCCATCTCCACCTTTTTTCCCGTATACCTTTTAAGATAACCCAGGAGGAAGTATGTTTAGATGCTATCATTCATTGATTTCATTGATCCTTCACACACATAACTCAGCTAAGCTTCCTAATCACCCCACAGTGTCATTACTAGCATCCCTACCTTATAGGTAAGGAAATTGAGCCTTGGGGAGATGAGAGTGGTAATGTAGGAATTGGAAAACATAAAAATAATCCTTCTCAGGGGAAATTTAAGTTCAAAATGGTATACAATATTGCTACTTTTGGTCTTCCTTTTAACGAATATTTAATAGTCAAGTATAACTAATAATGGTACTAGTAAGGAAAATTGTAGCTATCTGAGTGCTCAGAGTTTGCTGAGCATGATATTAAGTGCTTTATGTGTTAGCTAATCAAATATGTAAAACTGTTACATAAGTGGTACTTATTCTTGCTAACTTAGCAAACAGAAAAATAAATATCATGAAATCGTTTGGCTTGTTTATCATGAACCAATAGCTACAAAAATAAATTGATACTTGTTGATTAACTATTTTTAGCAAGAGCATCTGCCCATCAGCCAGTGATTCTCAGTAAGGTGGGGGGTTAACCCTCCAAGGGACATTTGGAACCACACAGGGGCCCTTTCTGGCTGTCATAATGAATAGGGAGGTACAGCTGGCCTTTAGTATCTTGGAACCAGGGATGCTAAATTCTCTGCCAGTATGGGATCTGGGCACAACCAAATATTGTCCCCCCACCCCTCCCAAGTGCCAATGACACTCTCCTTGAGGAACGAAGAACTCTGCCAAAGTTTCTGCATGTATAAAACAAGTTTCAGCCTTTAAGAGAACGATACTAATTATTCCCACCCCCAAAGAGGTAGCACTTTCCATTACTAAATAATTCTTTTTTTTTTTTTTGGAGACAGAGTTTCGTTCTTGTTGCCCAGGCTGGAGTGCAACAGTACGGTGTCAGCTCACTGCAACCCCCGCCTCCTGGGTTCAAGCGACTCTCCTGCCACAGCCTCCCTAGTAGCTGGGATTACAGGCGCCCAGGACCATGCCTGGCTAATTTTTGTATTTTTAGTAGAGATGGAGTTTCACCATGTTGACCAGGCTGATCTGAGCTCACTGCAACCTCTGCCTCCTGGGTTCAACAGATTCTCATGCCTCAGCCTCCAGAGTAAGCTGGGATAACAGGCATATGCCACCACACCTGGCTAATTTTTGTATATATATATTTTTCGAGATGGGATCTTGCTTTGTTGCCCAGGCTAGAGTACAGTGGTGCAATCTCAGCTCAATGTAACCTCTGCCTCCTTGGTTCAAGCAATTCTCCTGTTTCAGCCTCCTGAGTAGCTGGGATTACAGGTGCCTGCCACCACGCCTGACTAATTTTTGTATTTTTAGTACAGACAGGGTTTCGCCATGTTGGCCAGGCTGGTCTCAAACTCCTGACCTCAGGTGATCCACCCGCCTTGGCCTCCCAAAGTGCTGGGATTACAGGTGTGAGCCACCGTGCCTGGCAGCATTACTAAATAATTCTAATAAACTCACTAATACACAATGTACTGAAAACCCAGGGGCTTTGAGGCAATCAGGAATCCTTTAATGGCCAAAGGGACTGCTAGGATCAGGCCCTTCTACCCAGTTTCCACCACAGCTCACAGATGAGGGCTTCTGCTTCCTCTCCCCTCTGGCCAGTGTTGGAGGAAGCAGGTACAGCCCCCCTCTCTCTTTCTTCTGGGAAGACGAGTGATTAGTTTGATTGTGAGCCCAGAATATTCACCAAGGCAGGTTTTACTCGTCAGTGAGATTACTGTGCCAAAGACTTCATCCTTCCTCCTTCACTTCCTACTTCTGCGGCAGCTTGGCCTGCATTCCTGCCCCAGCCACAGGCTAAATGGCCAAAGTCTTCACGGAGCTGGGGCCTGGGCCAGTGGAAGGTGCGTGACTCCCTCGTGCTCTGTTGCCCTTTGCTCTGGCACTAGGAATGCACTGTGCATTGGGCTTTCCTTAGGCGGCAGAAGTTTCCATCTACCCTAAGACGTGCAGGTGACATGGCAGATATTTATGGGGAAAGCAGTGGAATGCTCCGTTACCCTCAGTCCTAAGCCTTTCTCCAGTCCAGCTTTTCGCAGAGTTTATGTCAAGGGCTTGCTCAGCTCTTCACAAAGAGCCACTGTCTTGCCTCCTGAGGTCTTCCTGCTGCACAAGCTCCACCCGTTGGGCTGCAGAAAGGCACTGGGAGCACTGAGGTGCAGGAGTCTTTGAATGGCTCACACTGTGCTGGGCACTTTCTTTACTTTATCTTCTTTATCCTTCAGAACGACTCGGGGGGATAGATGCGATCCCTGTTTGAAGGACGTGGAAGCAGAAAATTTGAGACCTTAGTAACTCCGGGCTACTTAGTGAGCAATAAAGCTGAAGTTCAGTTTGGACTCTAAAAACTACAGTTTCAGCACTTTGAAGACAAATGTGTTTCTTCCATGTTTTATGATATGGATTTATCATATCATAGCCCTTCTCTTTGAGTTTCTGAGTGGACCCAAAGCTGTTTTTTGAGAGAAATAATTGGTTCTGGTGGCACCCCTGAGGAAGCAGGACAGGCTTGTCTCTGGTAAGAATATAAATCACGTTTCTCCATTTTCCCAACACTCGCAATCCTGCCGTCTGCATGTCTGGGGCCTAAGACGTGTGTTTTCTTCTACTCACAACACAGAGAACTGACATTTACTCACTCACCACTACGAGTTGGTTGCAACTCAGCTTTTGAATAGAAGTTTGCTTGTGACATCTGGTGAGAGAGGGAGGGAGAAAGAGAGAGAAAGGAATAATTTTAATGTGAAAGAAGATTTGTGGGAGTTATATTTGTCTAGTGTTCTACGGTATCTGTTATCTGACTGTAATATGTTAGGTGACCAGGAATAATTTTTTTTTTTTTTTTTTTTGAGACGGAGTCTTGTTCTGTTACCCAGGTTGGAGTGCAGTGGCGTGATCTTGGCTCACTGCAACCTCCGCCTCCTGAGTTCAAGTGATTCTCCTGCCTCAGCCTCCCTAGTAACTGGGATTATAGGCATGCGCCACCAAGCCTGGCTAATTTTTGTATTTTTAGTAGAGACGGGGTTTTGCCATGTTGGCCAGGCTTGTCTTGAACTCCTGACCTCAGGTGATCCACCTGCCTCAGTCTCCCAAAGTGCTGGGATTATAGGCGTGAGCCACCGTGTCCATTCTAGAAATAATTTTTGACTCTCGCTCTCTCTCTCTCTGGGCGTGTGTGTGTGTGTATGTGTAATCCTATTTCCCTTAGAAATATCAATATAAAAGTAACCAAAAAAACACTGTTAGGCGAAATTGTTTGTAACATCTGTCATTTTACTAGTTACTAAAGCTGCTTTGATTGATCCCGCAGGAATGACAGGTATCTCCTTTTCTCACTCTTTAGGGTCTGCCTCGTGAAACTGGATGTTTGGTGGAGGAGGTCGTTCTTTTCAGATACAGAGGACTGGTTCTTTGGTGAAGGTACACAAATGTCTGGGCTTTCATACTCATTAGAATAATTATCCACTACCTTATTCGAGGTATTTATATAAGCATCCCTGTGAGAAATTCCTGCTGAAGTCCAGTTCACTTCTGTGAGACAATTCATGTACCTTATTCCATTTGGAAGCGAGCCCTCTAACTTTATATATGTATATATTTTTTTGAGACAGACTTTCACTCTGTCACCCAGGCTGGAGTGCAGAGGCATGATCTGGGCTCACTGCAACGTCCGCCTCCTGGGTACAAGCGATTCTCTTGCCTCAGCCTCCTGAGTAGCTGGGAATACAAGCGCCCGCCACCATGTCCGGCTAATTTTTGTATTTTTAGTACAGACAGGGTTTCACCGTATTGGCCAGGCTGGTCTTGAACTCCTGACCTCAGGTGATCCACCTGCCTCGGTCTCCCAGAAATGCTGGGATTACAGGTCGTGAGCCACTGCGCCTGGCCCTCTAACTAAATATCTTTGCTTTATGTTTTGGTTGTCAGAAAATTCAGGGCCAAATGAGTACTCAGTTGTACTGCTTGATTCCTTACAGATGCTAAGTACACATATGGTTCTTTAAAATAATCTATTATTATTATTTAGACAGGATCTTGCTCTGTCGCCCATGCTGGAGTGCAGTAGCATGATCATCGCTCACCATGGCCTCCAACTCTTGGGCTTAAGTGATCCTCCCACCACAGCCTCCTGAGCAGCTGGCACTATAGGTATGAGTCCTCATTTTTGAGTCCCTGTCCCATGTTTAATTTCAATTGTCATTTTCAGGTTTAATATTTTGTAAGTTATCTAAGACACCCTTTCCTGTTTTTATTTTAGGCTTATTTTTTGGCAATAGGCATGGCATTTTCCCATGGGTTACTTGCTAATTTCAAAGGGCAAAAAACCCTTTAAAATGGAGACATCTGGCTTTTACTACCCCAATACAGCAATCAATTTAAAAATTACTAATAGTGGACCCATCAGGCAGTATATGACTCTTGATGTAAATGTTAACCTGAATAAGATGAAGTCTTTAGGTCTTACTTCCAGTTCCTGGAAATACAGGGGATAGAGAAACAAGCCAAACAATATCACAAAGAAATAAAGTCAAATCTGGAATGTGGGGGATTGTATTAGTCGGTATAAAAGTCATTGCGGTTTTTGCCATTACTTGGTTTTGGACTTGCTTATGTGGCCATTCCAGCCCAGACGACCTTCTAGATAACTGCCACATAAGCAAGTCCAAAACCAAGTAATGGCAAAAACGGCAATGACTTTTGCATCAACTAACGCAATGCAACTAGCCAGGTTGCCTAAAACACTTAATTTCTTAAAAATGATTGGGGAGATGGAGTCTGTTCTAGAATAAAAAAGATGAGATGATGTACGGAAACTAGATTAACCTTCATTACTGGTGAGAATGTAAAATAACGCAGCCACTCTGGAAAACAATTAATGTTTCCAGTACGTGATCCAGCAATTCCGTTCCTAGGTATCTACCCAAGAGAAAATATATGTGCACATGAGAACTTGTATATGAATGCTCATAGTAGCATTATTATTATTATTGTTATTTGAGATGGAGTCTCACTCTGTCACCCAGGCTGGAGTACAGTGGTGAGATCTCAGCTCACTGCAACGTCCGCTTCCTGGGTTCAAGTGATTCTCCTGCCCCAGCCTCCCAAGTAGCTGAGATTTACAGGCATGTGCCACCACACCCAGCTAACTTTTTTTTTGTTTGTATTTTTAATAGAGATGGGGTTTCACATGTTGGCCAGGCTGGTCTTGAACTCCTGAGCTCAGGTGATCCACCTGCCTTGGCCTCCCAAAGTGCTGGGATTACAGGCGTGAACCACCACGCCCGGCCCATAGTAACATTATTTGTAATGACAAAAAACTGGAAACAGTCCAAATGTCCATCAACTGGTAGATGAATAAAGAAAATGTGATCTGACCGGGAAGAGAGCCTCATGCCTGTAATCCCAGCACTTTGGGAGGCTGAGGCAGGCAGATCACCTGAGGTTGGGAGTTTGAGACCAGCCTGACCAACCTGGAGAAACCCCATCTCTACTATAAATACAAAATTAGCCGGGCTTGGTGGTGCATACTTGTAATCCCAGGTACTCGGGAGTCTACTCGAGAGTCAAACAAACAAAAAGAAAATGTTATATGTTCATACAATGAAATATTACTCTGCCATAGAAAGGAACAAATTGCTGATGCATGTTACAGTGTGGATGAACCTCAAAAACATTATGCTAAGTAAAAGAAGCCAGAATCCAGATGCAAAAGACAACATATTATATGCTTCCATTTATAAGAACTGTCCAGAAAAGACAAATCTCTAAAGATGGTAAGTAGATTAGTCGTCGTCAGAAGCTGAGGGTAGAAATGGAGATTAACTACTAATGGGCATGAGGGATCTTTTTGGGTGAAGAAAACGTTTTACAACTGGATTGTGGTGATGGTTGCACAACTCTGTAGTTTTACTAAAGATAGCATTGGATTGTACCCTTCAAATGAGTGAATTTCATGGTAAATTACACCTCAATAAAACCAATTTCAAAAAAACATGGCAGAAGTGATGTTGTGTGAGCCCAGACCTTAAGAGGCTTTGTGCTTTTACCTTCCCTCTATCCCCTGAGACTGAAACGGAGGGAAACTGAGGCACCCAGCCAACAGCAGTACCAACCACTCACTGCATGTGGGAATTTGTCCCTCTTGGACCTTCCAGCCCAAACGACCTTCTAGGTGACTGCAGCCACATGAGCAAGTCCAGCAGAGGAAATGCCCAGCCAAGCTATGAGTCAAGAAATGTAAGAAATTGTTTTATGTCACTAAAAATTTTGTATGTATATGTATAAATAAATAAATCTATTTTATTTCATGCATATTTTATATACAAAATACATTTTATCTTTATACATGTTAAGTGATATGGTAAAAGATTAACAACTTTATATTATTTATTTATTTATTTGAGGCGGAGTCTTGGTCTGTCACCCAGGCTGGAGTGCAGTGGTGTGATCTCGGTGCACTGCAACCTCTGCCTCCTGGGTTCAAGTGATTCTCATGCACGATCTTGGCTCAGCTTCCCGAGTAGCTGGGATTACAGGCACGTGCCACCACGCCCAGCTAATTTTTGTATTTTTGGTAGAGACAGAGTTTCACTATGTTGGCCAGGCTGGTGTCGAACTCCTGACCTCAGGTGATCTGCTCATTTCTGCCTCCCAAAGTGCTGGGATTACAAGTGTGAGCCACCATGCCCCGTCAGGAAGCTCCACTTTATTCTCACTTGAAAGTCAAGGAAACTGGGGCATATTTGTGTACGCTTCCCTCTGTCAGTCACTGGCTAAAGTTTGCTCCCATGGGCATATTTTGGTGGCATTCCAGCTTGTAGTAGGAGACATAGGTGCTAGCAGCTGGAAGTCAGACTGGCTGCATTAAGAGGCCGGAGATAAGGGTACCACATTGCGGGCGTCACTATTTTCCAGCATTTGCACCACTCGGATTCATTCATGCCCCACAATTGGTTCATGGCATTCTGTCACCAATTCCTCTGGCATGACCAATCGAAATTTCTAAAAGCTAGACTTGCAACAGGGTGGCAGGAAGCTCACGCTACAGCTTCCTCTACTGCGGTTGGTACCCAGATTGGAACTGATATTCACCGTTTCCCTCGTTCCCCATTCTAAATTCCCCTCGCACTTGGCTAATCTTTCTGCTAGTCTCCATTGCTTGTCCAGTGGGAAACCCAGACCTTTTCCTGTGAGGGACCTGAGCCCTTAACTCCTGTGTACTTGCCAGGCGTGGTTGCTGTGTAGGGAAACAAGGGAGGGCCTAGCAAATCCCCGAGTTCCCGACGTACTCTCCCCTGCCTCGATTAGGTAAAGCAATCTTATTTCCTCAGGATAACCAGGGGTAACTGCTGCCATTAGTATATAACTCCCACATGTTTTCTGATTCACTGGCATGAGAAGCCCCAAATGGCAGTTGAAGCTCTAGGTTCAGTGGAACCCCTTACTTAGTCCTTTGGAAGAAGTGTTACCCTTTCAGGGAACCAGGACCTGGGGACCAGCAGAGTCTAAACTTGCAGGTACAGCTGGGTCCTGGGCTCAGGGTCTCCCAAGGCTGAATTCAAGGTTTCGACCAGGTCTGCAATCTCAGCTGGAGCTCAGGGTCTTCATCTAAAGCTCATGGGTTGTTGGCAGAGTTCAGTTCCTAAGGGTTGTCAGATGGTGGTCTCTGCTTTCTTGTTGCCGGCCAACTGGGCTCCCTTCTCATGTCCTGGAGGCCACCTGTGGTTTTCCGCCCTGTGGTCCTCTCTCCAACATGGCAGTTGCTCCTATGAGGCCAGTGGAAGAATCTCTCTCATCCTCTGAATCTCTCCTTCAGGATGGGCCCAGGGACTTTGAAGAGCTCACCTGATTAGGTCAGGCCCGCCCAGGATAATTTTCCTTTTGATTGATTCAAAGTCAGCTGCTAAGAGCTACTCAAGTCAGCCTACATGCACCAGCTCTTGGGCCTCCGCCTCCTCTTCCTGCTGTCCCAGGACAGGGTGGCTGAGTTCCACATGCAGTTAGAGTGGCTGCCTGCCAAGGGCATCCAGACCAATGTCTACATCAAGCACTCTGTGTCCCTGGAGCCATACCTGATGGAGGGCGGCTACAACAAGGTGTTCCTGGTCAAGGGTAACATCCCTGCCAAGAGCTACACCTTCATCCACATCCTGCTTGATGCTATCAGGGATGAGATGGCTGAGTGCATTGAGAAGGCCTACGAGAAAATCATTTTCACCAAGGGCACCTGGATCCTCTTCCTCAACACACTCAAACAGATGCGGGCTACACCAAGAAGTGGGTCCTGGGCCCCGACAACTACTACAGTTTTGCCAGCCAGCAGCAGAAGCTGGAAGACACCACCATTCTGAGTTGAGGATGCCCGGCAGCCCACCAGGCACTGGGTGGAGTAGGGCATACATTATTTAAAACAGTTACAGTGCAGGGTTTCCTCTAATAAAGGTGGATTGCCATTCTGTCCTCCAGGCCCTTATCTCCCAATTGGGATGGTGGGGAGCCAGGTTCTTATATCTGAGATAGATAAGTTTTGGGGCCCTCAGGGGATGGCGATAACACCCTCCAACTGGGTCAGGCTCTGTCTGATGGCTGATGCTCAGGGTTTCAAACACAGATGCCCACCGTAGAGCCCCAGCAGCACTGTGGCCTACAGGAGAGCATGGCCCCAGGTATGGGGACTATTCCAGCCGGCTATGGACACACAGGAATGCTGGGCCAGGGTACCAGATATTTTCAACAAAGCGGGTGAAGTGTCCCATTTAAAAAAATGTTGGCAACGAATTAAACGATTTTTCAAAAAAAAAAAAAAAAAAATAATAAAAACACAGGCCAGATGTGGTGGGTCACACCCGTAACTCCAGCACTTTGTGGGGTGGAGGCGGGTGGATGACCTGAGGTCAGGAGTTCGAGACCAGCCTGGCCAACATGGCGAAACCTTGTCTCTACTAAAAGTACAAAAATTAGCTGGGCATGGTGGCAGGCACTGTAATCCCAGCTACTCAGGAGGCTGAGGCAGGAGAATCACTTGAACTCGGGAGGTGGAGGTTGTAGTGAGCCGAGATCGTGACATTGCATTCCAGCCTGAGTGACAAGAGCAAAACTCCGTCTCAAAAAACCCCCAAACCCCCCCGAAACACACACACACAACAAAGTCAGCTGCTAAGGGGCATTAATTACATGTGCAAAATCCCATTGGTCACAGGATGTCACATAATCATGAGAGTAACTGTCCCATCATAGGCTCAAGTCACAGTCATGCTCAAGGGGAGAGGATGACACGGAGCCTGTACACCAGGGAGCAGGAATCTTGGGGGACATCTTAGAATTCCACCTCCTACAGTAACATTTCTTCTCACCATGAACCCACCACAGGTTTTCTGTCTATTCCATAAATACGTTTGTGGTTAGAATTTGAGGAATGTCATACAAAACTGTCTGGTCGGTTCCCCCTGGGTCCTTTGGAAAAGAGTAGCCTTGAAGAGAATGGAGGGCAAGAGTGAGATTATTGAGGAAGGAACCCCCAGAGAAGCCACAGAGGATCAGGATAGAGCCAAGGAGTGCTGAGCCTTCCTCTTGGGTTGGGTGTGAGGCTGAAGCCAATAGTATAGCTCGTGTCAGACTTTTGGCTGCTCTATTCATTACACAGAAGAATAACACTTCATTAGGTGCTGTCATTCAAAGTGGAATGTATCTTCATTCTCTTCAGGGTTTTTGGCAGTTAGATTTCTGAGTTACTTCATAAAAATTTAAATTAGCTATTTTTAATGATGACTGGTAGAAGGAAGATAAATCATCATTCACAGAATTTTTAATGGGAAAAGTAATTTCAGTATTCTTTTGGGGGAAGCACTTTTGGGCAAAAGCTATTCCTACAGCCCTCATGTTATTACTTCAAACACGAACCTGGTTTAGAAGAAGAAAGATTTGCTGCTGAGTTTTGTGTTTGGAATTGGTGTACCTGAAGCATGGGGAGTGTCCAATATACGTGTGTGTGTTGTGTTTGAGATAGAGTTTCGCTCTTGTTGCCCAGACTGGAGTGCAGTGGTGCGATCTCAGCTCACTGCAACCTCTGCCTCTCAGGTTCACGTGATTCTCCTACCTCAGCCTCTGGAGTAGCTGGGATTACAGGCATGTGCCACCACACTGGGCTAATTTTGTATTTTTAGTAGAGATGGGGTGTCACCATCTTGGCCAGGCTGGTCTAGAACTTCTGACCTTAGGTGATCCACCCGCTTTAGCCTCCCAAAGTGCTGGGATTACAGGCATGAGCCACTGTGCCCGGCCCAATTTATTTGTAATACAGTAAATCATACATTATATTAACATTTTCGGTGATTCGTTTTCTCATTTATTAAATTAATGAATACATTTTTTCAAAGTGAGGCTTAACATTGTAAGTAATACAGTGGTAGTAGAATGGGGCAAGCCTATTCATCCTGGGTTAAGTGAGAACACCTTCATTTTCATAGTGTAGAGCATTATCCTTTTCTATGGAGACTGAGCTAAATGCCAGGCTTCCCGTATTCGCCCAGAATATGTAGCAGGCTGGTTTGTAAAAGAGGAGATATTCTGAGTTTGGCTGAAAGTAGCAATTTATTAATAAATTAATTTTTATCTTTTTAAAAATAGAGAAAGGGTCTTGCTATGTTGCCCAGACTGGTTTCGAACTCCTGGTCTCAAGTGATCCTCCCACCTCGGCCTCCCAAAGTGCTGGAATTACAGGTGTGAGCCACCACATCCAGCTTGAAAGTAGCAATTTAGGAAAAAAAAAAAAACTTAGGAAGCTTTTAGTGACTGAGAAAATGAGTTGGTTTCATGCTTCTGAGAATTTATAAATGAACTAACTGAAAATGGAAACAGTGGTTATAAAGATTGTCAATAAAAAAGAAAATGAACTAGTGTCATTGAGAACTTAGAAAGTTTTCTGCATCTTTGTAGCCAGGAGGAAAAAAAAACTTAGAGGCTGGGAGTGGTGGCTCATGTCTGTAATCTCAGCACTTTGGGAGGCCAAGGCAGGTGGATCACAAGGTCAGGAGTTCGAGACCAGCCTGGCCAACATAGTGAAAACCCATCTCTATTAAAAATACAAAAATTAGTTAGGTGTGGTGGCATGCACCTGTAGTCCCAGCTACTCAGGAGGCTGAGGCAGGAAAATCTCTTGAACCCAGGAGGCAGAGGTTGTGGTGAGCCAAGACCACGCCATTGCACTCCAGCCTGGGTGACAGAGTGAGATTCTGTCTCAAAAAATAAAA